CTTCAGTCTTCATGTAGCTGATTCGATCTTTCTAATAATCGAGCCATTCGATATATCATTGCTCATTCGATTTATGTTTGTCATTCTAGCCATATTGTTTATTCAATGGTTTAGTGAGATTAATAAAGAAATATAATTATTGTGTAAATATCAAGTTTTCTTATTTTAATTTAATTAAAAATACGAATTATAACACATCATTAGTTCAATATTCATTTCAATTAATTTGCATTTTATCGTTGCAAAATTTACTTTAATATTCAAAAAATGTATTACGTAGTTCAATATATTTGCATGACATTTATGAATAAATAGTTTTTGCATAATACCAAGCTAGTGCATGTGAAATCAAACAAGGCAATACCATCCATTAAATTTTACAGAGTGAAGTGTTGAATATAATTTCTCCATCTTTCGTATACAGAGCAATAAGTAAGTAAATATCGATTATTCGTATAATGCGTAATTAGATTATTATTCAAATATTTCTTGTCAGGTTCGTATTTCGTGGAAATTTTATTTTCAGTCAAATATGCACTTTCGTAATTTAAAAATTGAGCTACATTTTTGTATAGAAAGTGATACGTTTAACTTTCACAGGTAAATGTTTCTAAATTGAAACGAACCGTCGATCAAAAAATATTTTAATTCACATATGTAATTTAACCATATTTAAGATAAAGAGAATTTATTTTTAATTTAAAAAAAAAATAATATAAAATTATAATTTATTTTAATTTATGATATATTGTCTTCTTATTTCGTTAGTATCTTTTTAATTCTATTATACTTTCTAATATAAAATAATGTTTAATAATATTTTGAGGTTAACCATATTTTCAGTTATTTCCAATTATTCAGTGCATAGTTCTTACGATGAATGTTTATATTTATTTGAAATAATAACATATTTTGATAATTATTTATTCATTATGTATTTAAAAAAAATATTTTTTAAAATCATTAAATATAAGATTATTAACAAACAATCAAAATTTCAATCTGACTAATATCATTATCAAACAATATTCCATAATCAATATGGTATTGATTGACTTATTATTATTTATAAATATTAATAAATATTAAATACTGTTATAATATGTAACATAATTATAGTAAAATTATTGTGTTACATTAATATAATATTATTTTTAAATACATAATATGAAAGTATGAAATTAGTATGAAATTAATCGTTATTACTGACTATTCAATTTTAATATTTTTCAATTTTCAAGAAAATATAATAGTAAAAATTCCACTACTTTCAATATACATTTTCCATAACAAATTGATTAATAAATTCGCGAAATTAAACTATCGTCAAATTTTCCGAATCTTTATTAACGACAAAATAAAACCGTGATTCCTCCCCAATAAACAAAACTTTCAACCGAGAACTCGAACTGACCATCAATAATCAAACTAACCCTCTCAATTGAAGCACGTACCTACCCCAAACCGAGAACCTAGATCCACCCTCGGCAAATCTGATTTCTCAAATAAATCTCAATAAATCATTTCGTTACGCTTTCAATCGTGATTGCATAACACCGCTTAACCCAGTTTCAGGATCGTTTTAAGTCTCCGAATCCGGGGAGATCGAATCAGGAAATCGAAGTTTCTACGCGTTTGAGTGACCCAGGAGGCGGATCGATCCGTTTCGAAAGACGATCACCGGGCAAAGAGCCCGGTAACCTCGGTTGACCGAGCATAGGGACAGAGGTCATCGTGGTCGATCTCCGTGGACCGAATTGCGGAGGAATGTCGCGTGGTTCCGCTACAAAATGCATTACCTCCGGGATCTTCCCGTGTCCAGCTGTATGTATTCCACGAAACCGGATCTCCCTTGCCCCGCGCCACGTAAAAGCTCGTCCTTGACAAATTAACTTATTGACGCCATTGTTCTCCATCACTCGTCCTTTGTCTTAACTGAAATGAGTGAAATTAGATTGGTTAGATTAGTTTTTTAGATGTTCGAGTGATCAATCATAGATATTGAATAATATATCATAGAATTGTTTATTTTCTTACGATTTGTTTTCTTCTAGATAGTTTTCTTCTTTCAAGAGATGAAATTTTGGCGAAAATTGGATTAATTTTGTTAAAAGGAATGAAATCTAAATCTTTTTATTGTTTTCATTGAAATTTCATTGAAATTTTATTGGAAATGTTTCAAAAAATTTGTTTCCTTTCCTGTTTTTGTCTGATATTTTTTCGTTTATAGCATTCAGATTTCATACAAAATTTTATGCAAAATTCTTTTTATTTTCTTTCATATCGTCAAAATTAATTCCACGTGTCGATTCTTCTTTATAGTTCTTTCATCCAAAATCAATATCTCGTAATTTGAAAATATACAAAACGAAAATAAATCATAAAGCATAATCCATTTAAATCTCTCACATCGTGGAAAATCCAAAGTAATTTTCGAAAATCGTGCATCGATCATGACAAACGAGTAGGATTGGAAAGGGTATGGAACAAAAATATTCTTCGGATAGTAGGAGCAAATATACTGGGAAATGGATCGAGAGAGAGAAAGGGGTGGCGAATTCATCAAACCATCGGCACGAGTTGCATCGGTTTCATCGATCAGGGGGCTGAATACGCGACTTGCTTTCATCGTTTTAGAGATCTTCGATTACTTTGTACGCTGTGTCTGAAAATAGCCTTTTACACCCCGTATCGATCGATTAAATCGAGGGACAAATGAAATTTCGGTATCGAGGCGTAATTGGGGCGTGAATCAATGAATTCACGGAACGAAAGGATTAACTGATGATGGAAAACGATGGGGAAAATTTAAGTGAATTTTTAATTTCAACATTGTTTCCTTAGATTGTTGGTTAGGCGAAATCGATATTGATGTTAATGTTGACGAGAATTTATCTTTTTTAAAAACTTATCTTTGTATATTTTAATGAAATATTTATTTCAAAATCTTAGTTACAAATATATCATTATTAAAATATATATTTGAAATACTATTTTCGATTAGAATTTAAAAAAAAAATTTATTTACGATATTCTTTATTAGATAAAGAAATGAAATTTTTAATTTTTCGTAATTATCTATTTTGAAAATCTATTTTTCTCGATATTGTCAATCATTATGATTAATTCTCGTGCAATTAACAAGATTTTATCATGACGCAAGCAATAAGTCTGTCAAGATTTTCCCATAATTTCGCAATAATTGCATCCCATCCGGAAATAATTGACTGTCCAGATACTTTACAACGATAGTGCATATACGAGATCC